CCCACGATGAACTTAATAATCATTAATAAGCCCATCCTAAGGTAATCATATTTTTTTCTAGCCTAGGATTAATACAAAATGTTGCCACAGACGGAAATCAGAATACGCAATAAGCTGTTTTAATTATTGGTAATAAATTTAAATTATATGCTATGCTTGAAAACTTTCTCCTGTTTAGCAGAATTTTTTGTAATAAATAAATAAATAAATTATTATATAGCTAACGATTTTGTCTTTTCCTTCTGAATTTCCTATTCTTTGTTTCGCTCATTTTCTTGAAAGCGCAGTTGGATACGGACACAAATCATCATAAATAAGTGCTTAAATTAACTTTAGACCAAATGATCAATTCGCTACTTTTAAAATCCAGTGAGCTTTTTTTTTGTATTTTAAACGTATCTATTTGATAATTTTTCTTGTGTCAAGTTTATAATATCTAGTTAGAAATATATTTAAAGAGTGTATTTGATTTTTATAGATTTATACAATTTTAATAAATAATTCATAACATCTTTCATATGCAAGATAAATATTTTTTTCTAAAATGTTGAGGAAAAAAAACTCATTTAGCCTAAAACAAGTCAGGACCTGTGTATGTGTAATGATATTAACGTATTCATTTATGATCTGTACATTTTTTAAAGGTGTATGTGCTATGGATCGTGTTCTTCACGTGTTTATGTTGTGAGCCTATAATGCTTATTAGAAGTGCATTTTAATTTTAAGTTTTCTATATCGTACTTAACGTCAATCTACATCGCTATTAGTCTTAGGTACACTATTCATGACTAGCACGTGTAGAGACTGCAACTTTGATTTTAATAAATATGTATGGGCAAGATATCTGACTAACAAATTTGTTTATATCAGCAGTTCAGTAACCCCGAGTGCCATGCAGGAGAGAGGCTGAAATGACGCGGATCGAACCAAAAAAGACTAATTCCTTTATGACTTGTTCATCCTAGCTTACCCTTAGGTGGCACGTCTAATATGGGATATTCAATAGCGATTATTGCGCGCCGAATATTGTGTTTTATTGTGCGCCCAATGTCTTGTGTAGTAGTTCAGATTCGATGAACGCCTTTTTCCCGCCTTTAGGGCTTGTGACGTAGTGTGACGTATTTTTATGACAATTGTGACGTCGAATCTGTGGTCTGTCTTTGGTGTGCGTGCCATTTCGTTGAGTGGCTGATGAGAGATCTTTCTGGAGAGAGTTTATACTTACAGACCTGTTTACTCTTACGATTTTGGCGTACAATGTACGATTTTGAGGTGTATACATTATAAATACTGCATGTTTATTTTTTTACTATTAAGATAATGTATTGAAGGATTTTGTGATGATATTGTATGATTTTAAGAGTTTGGGTATAAACAGGTCTGTACTTATATATCAAACAGCTCTATACTATGCATGTATTTGGCTTCATTTTACAGCCTAATATATAATTATGCTTCTGGATTAAAGCTGACAGTGCTATTGGAAAAGGGATTAATTTGTGTTCAGTCGGGTGTGATTAAGACGTATGGCCGTGCGAAAGAATCTGACGAAAGAAAGCCAATCTCACGTGCATTACGACACGGCCTGGGACTTAGGCTTAACGCTTGGTTGTGGAGCTCTTTCATTGAGCCCTGTACAACACCCTTTTGTTGTATTATAGCTTATTAAGCAAAGCGACAGATGTTGATGTTGGTATATGTCACGTGACCTTGAATTTGAACACCAACGCTGTTTTTTTTTTTAAAATCTAATCTCATCTGTCACATGATCATAATTAAATAAAAGGTTGCTATGGATTCATGGGTTAAGTGGATGCCGTTTTGTTGTTGTTTTTTTTACACCGGGTTAAGGTATTTTGAGAAAATACCCGGCGACTCCAAGCGTTGCAACAAAAACAACAACAACAACAACAACACAAGAGTTAACTTCTCATTTTCTATATACAATAGGCCATCAGCCAGTCCTACACCCTACCTGTCGGTCTTAAAAGAATAGTCCTATAGCCAGTCCTATACCCTACCTGCCGGTCTTTGAAGAGTCTTACATACAGTCCTATACCCTACCGGTCGGCTTATAAACAATAGCCCTACAGGCAGCGCTCCAGAAAGTCCTACAGCATACCCATGGCTCTTCGTTGTTTCATATAAAAGTCAACTCCGAAACAATTCAACCCTGTTACCGGAGTTTACCGGAGTTTACCGGAGTTCAACAGCTACGCATAACGCTCACGGCTTTTTTTTTTTTTAACCTCACTCAGTCCTATTACCATAAAACATATTTACTTTGGCGGGG